TGTGAGCTTATGACTTTGAATTGGTACTTTTTTCTAGTGCGGTAAAGCTAGTCGCGCCTATGAGTTTAAGAACTTATTTAAACTTGTATTTGTGGTTAAGGGTTGATTAGAGAGCTTATTTTAATCAACGATTATCTATAAAAAATGTGGGTCGTTAGAGCTTGTTAACGATTAAAACCAATTCGGGGTTGTCCTTTCCGTTTACATTTTTGGAATCGATGATAGGCACTAACATCTTAACCGGTATTGAATTGATGTTGGGACTTTAATCAATTGTTTAAATTTATATTTTATCGCATGTTTAGAGTAATTAATCAAATCCAACACCCCCGCCCCTTGTAATTGTTAGTATTTACGTTTTCATCGTGTACTTGATTCGCTAGTCGTACAACGTTAGACTGAGTCTCTATGGATTCGACCCGACTTACACTACTACAATTTTGGTTGTAACTAGTCATTAGTTGGAATTTATTATTTGGTGGACTCGGTTTCCGTCAAATATTTTGGCGCTGTTGCCGGGGACTCGATATTATTAACGGTTTATGCCTAGATCTTCACATACAGGTTCACCTTTGCCAATAAATCTAGAAATCAAACTAACCGCGAAACGACTGAGGAAACAAGCCAAGTTTCAGAAGAAGTTTGATGAGGGACCTTCGTCACCAGGGTTAAATATCTAGCAAGATATTAACCTATCGAGAGATTCGGACGAAGAGGAAGACAAAAAGAAGGCAGACGTGATGGCTGCCGAACAAGACGAGTGAACTCTACGAGAGTTGGCGACACATGACATTGCTCAGGTTTCTATCTGTATTAGGTATCCGCAAGGTAACGCAAATTTTTTTCTAAAAACTGGTTTGGTCCACCTATTACCCTCCTACCACGGTTTGGAGAACGAGGACCCGAACAAACACCTCAAGGAATTCCATGTGGTGTGTTTAAGCATGAAACCCAACGAGGTTACGAAGGATCTTATTAAGTTAAAGGCATTCCCTTTTTCTTTAAAAGATCAGGCCAAAAGATTGGCTCTACTCGTTACCGCTCGGTTCGGTAAGGACTTGGAACCAAATGGCGCGGTTATTTTTAGATAAATTCTTTCCCGCCTCCCGAACCGCTACACTCCGTAGGGAAATTTGCAGTATCAAACAAAGAGATGTGGAAACCCTCTATGAATATTGGGAGAGGTTCAAACATCTCTATGTTAGTTGCCCGCAACACGGTATTTCCGAGCAACTTCTGTTGCAGTATTTTTGTGAGGGCCTTCTTCCTATGGAAAGGAAGATGATCGATGCCGTTAGTGGAGGGGCATTTTTTAATAAAACCCCAACTCAAGTGAAGGCTCTGACCACCATGATGGCTGAGAACTCTCAGCATTTTAGTGTGCGAGGTGATTTAAGGAGAGAGCCCCAAAATATTAATGAGGTTAATACCGGTACCATTGAGAATGGGTTATTTGATTTGACTAATCTCGTTACACAATTAGTTGTGGGTAAAGAGTAGGTTAAAGCATGCGGTATACGCAATGGGACGAACCATCCGACGGACGCGTGTCCGCAACTCCAAGAGGATGTTTTGGTTGCACCCGAAGACGTCAATGCCATTGGAGGCTTTCCAAGCCAACAACCGCAGAAAAGGTTTTATAACCAGAGCTTCGGTGCCCAAAGACCTCCGCAACAATTCCAGCAAAGGCCGTTCCAGCAGCCATTCCAACATAAAGCGTCGTTTCATCCAAACAACCAAGCCTCGAGCAGTGCAGGTATGTCTTTAGAAGTTATTGTTAAATCTCTTGCTACTAACACTCAACAATTTCAGCAAGAGACGAAAAAGAATATCTAGAATTTGGTAACCCATATCAAAGTTTAGCGGCCCAAGAGAAGAATTTGGAAGCTTAAATCGGGCAAATGGCGATTTCGCTTAATCGCATTGAGAGCCAAGGTAAGTTACCGTCCCAAACTGAAACTAACCCGAAAGCTAATGTTAATTTCATTACTTTGAGAAACAGGACGGTTCCGGATCCCGAACCCAAAGCAAGAAGGAGCGAGAGGAAAGAAGACAAAGAGGCCGAGATTACGGGAGACAAGTCAAATGAAGATAAGGTTGAAGGTAAAAACATAAAGGACAAAGGAAAGGCGCCCGAATTGGTCATCCGACCACCATTCCCAAAGAGATTCGAGCAAAGCAAGAAGGAGCAAGAAGACAAGGAGATTATGGAGACTTTTCGCTGAGTTGAGGTAAACATTCCAGTCTTAGATGCTATTAAAAGAGTACCTCGATATGCTAAGTTTTTGAAGGAGTTGTGTACAAACAAGAAGAAGTTGACTGGGAACGAGAAGGTTAGCATGGGHGAGAATGTATCCGCCGTGCTTCAAGGAGAGAAGATGCCACCTAAGTGCAAGGACCAAGGTATGTTTACTATTCCTTGTAAGTTAGGTAATGTTTCAACAGATAAAGCCATGTTAGACTTAGGCGCATCTATAAATGTTATGCCTTATTCGATTTATTCATCATTGAATGTGGGACCTCTTAAGAGGACGGGAGTTGTACAACTCGCCGATAGGTCCAATGTGCATCCCAAGGGAGTCTTTAAGGATGTGTTGGTTCAAGTTAACGAGTTAGTCTTCCCAACAGATTTCTATGTCATAGATATGGAAGAACATAATACCTCCAAATCACCTTTGATATTGTTGGGAAGACCATTTCTGAAAACATTAAAAACAAAAATTGATGTTCATGATGGTACGTTAACTATGGAATTTGATGGTGAAGTTATTAAATTTAATATCTATGATGCCATTAGATATCCCAGTGATGTGTCTTCTGTCAGTTTTGTTGATGTTTTAGATCCTATTACTCATGATTTGTTTGAATTGACTAACCGAGATTTGTTGGAAGTTGCAATTACAAGGCACCTAGATGCAAGGACAGTTAATTTGTGGATGAAGGAGTATGATTTAGGGCCCGAGCTTAAAGAGATAGTCTTAGCCATGGAATCTAACCAACACAAGAACTTTCAGGTATCAAATGTCAATTCACCTTCTTCTTACACTAAGATATTTCCTTCTATTGTGTAGGCCCCGGTACTTGACTTGAAGGAGTTACCGGACCACCTCAAGTATGCCTACCTAGGCAAGGACAATACTCTACCGGTGATCATCCTATTGAGCTGTCAAGCGAAGAAGAAAAATGGTTGGTGAATGTGCTTGAAAAGCACAAGGAGGCGATCGACTAGACTATAACTGATATCAAGAGATTAAGCCCCTCAGTTTGTATGCATAAGATTCCACTTGAAGATGACTACAAGCCTTTTCGTGAAGCTCAACGACGCCTCAACCCGCCTATGATGGATGTAGTGAAAAAGGAGATCCTCAAACTCATTGACGCATGTATTATCTATTCAATTTCAGATAGCAAATGGGTAAGCCCTGTTCAGGTAGTACCCAAAAAGACGGGTTTTACGGTAGTTAGGAACACCGAAGGTGAGTCAGTGCATACTCGAGTCCAAAATGGATGGCGAGTATGCATCGACTATAGGAGGTTGAACTCGTCCACTAGAAAGGATCACTTTCCACTTCCCTTTATTGACCAAATGTTGGAACGATTAGCGGGAAAGTCTCACTACTATTGTCTAGATGGATACTCCAGGTTCCATCAAGTCCCGGTAGCGCCGGAGGACCAAGAAAATACTACTTTTACATGCCCGTTTGATACGTTTGCCTATAGGCGTATGCCTTTTGGCCTTTGTAACGCACCAACTACTTTTCAACGTTGCATGGGAAGTATCTTTTCCGAGTATGTACAGAGTATCATTGAGGTGTTTATGGATGATTTTACCGTATATGGTAACTCATTTGAGGACTGTTTGAACAATTTGACCAAGATTTTAAAAAGATGCATAAAGACTAACCTTGTTTTGAATTATGAAAAATGTCACTTTATGGTTAGTCATGGTCTTATCTTGGGTCATATTGTTTCAAAGAAGGGTATAGAGATAGACATGTCCAAAATAGATGTCATTAAAACTCTAACTTACCCCACTTGTGTTAGGGAAGTCCGTTCTTTCCTTGGTCATGCAGGGTTCTATAGGAGATTCATTAAGGATTTTTCGAAGATAACCTGACCACTTTGCTGTCTCTTACAAAAGGATGTGGATTTCCACTTCGTTGGTGAATGCAAGAAGGCATTCAATGAATTAAAAAATAAGTTAACTTCTGCACCCATAATTCAGCCCCCAAATTGAGATCTCCCTTTTGAGATCATGTGTGACGCGAGTAATTACGCGGTCGGGGCTGCTTTGGGACAGAAGTTTGGTAAGGACCCACACGTGATATACTATGTTTCTCGGACGTCAGATAATGCCCAAAGCAACTATTCAACGATAGAGAAGGAGCTTTTGGCCATAGTATTTGCTTTATAGAAGTTTCGTCAGTATTTACTTGGCACTAAAGTGATAGTTTTTTCTGATCATGCAACTCTTAAATATTTAATGAAGAAGAAGGACGTCAAACCTCGCCTTATCCGTTGGATGTTGCTTCTACAAAAGTTCAACCTAGAGATTCGGGATAAGAACAGATCGGAGAACTTGGTGGCCGATCATTTGAGCCGTTTACTAAATGGTGATGATCCTTCTACCTTGAAGGATGAATTTCTGGATGAGCATCTTCTGACCGTTCAAGAGATGACACCCTGGTACACCGATTTAGAACTATTTAGTTACCAACACTTTTCCAGGTACATTGACTAGAACTGAAAAGAATAGGATTAAGAGTCAAGCGAAGTATTATATTTGGGATGACCCCTACCTTTGGAAGCATTGCTCTGATCAAATTATCAAGCGATGTGTCCCCCAACACGAAGTACAAATTGTACTTTGATTTTGTCACGAATATGCTTGTAGGGGACATTTTGGTCCAAAGTGTACGACACATAAAGTGCTTAATTGTGGCTTGTTTTGGCCATCCATTTTTAAAGACGCTTATATGTTCTGCAAGAGTTGCAATAGGTGCCAAAGAACGGGGAATATCAGACCACGAAATCAAATGCCCCAAAACCCGATTTTAGTTTGTGAAATCTTTGATGTATGGGGCATTGATTTCATGGGACCCTTTCCCGCCTCTTCTGGATTTACCTATATTTTATTGTGTGTCGATTATGTCCAGAAATGGGTAGAAGCTAAAGCCACCAGAACTGACGATGCTCATACTGTTTCAGCTTTCCTTAGATCTAACATCTTCGCCAGGTTTGGCACACCAAGGGCCGTCATAAGCGATCGAGGGACACACTTTTGTAATAAAGTGATCGAGGCGGTGTTTAAGAAGTACCATGTCACTCACCGGATTTCAACCGCATACCATCCTCAATCCAACAGACAAGTCGAAGTCTCTAACAGGGAGATCAAATCCATTCTAGAGAAGAGCGTAAATCCTAATCGCAAGGATTGGACCGAGCGTTTGGACGATGTTTTGTGGGCCTACCGTACGGCCTACAAAACACCTATAGGTATGTCCCCTTTTCGATTAGTTTATAGTAAACCATGTCATCTACCTGTTGAACTAGAGCACATAGCCTTTTGGGTTGTCAAGAAGTGTAACATGCGAATGGATGACGAGGGAGTTCTAAGGAAGCTACAACTTCAAGAGTTAGAGGAAATCAGAAACAACGCATACGAGAGCTCCAAGATCTACAAGGAGCGGACCAAGGCTTTCCACGACAAGATCATCTCCCGGAAAGAGTTTGTGGTCGGACAAAAGGTTTTACTCTTTCATTCACGCCTAAAGTTGTTTCCCGGTAAGCTTAGATCACGATGGGTTGGTCCTTTCATAGTTGTTAAGGTTTATGCTCATGGAGCAGTAGATATTGAAAGCCTGAAAAGGGGTATGTCGTTTAAGGTGAACGGGCATAGACTGAAACATTTTTATGAAGGTTTTCAGTCTACGGACATTGATGTTATGGCTCTTGAGCCACCGCCCGTTGTTAGTTAATTTAGGTAGTGTCTAGCCAAAGACGTTAAAGAAAGGCGCTTATTGGGAGGCAACCCAATTTTTATTGCTTTATTTCCGTTCTAGTTTAGTTTCTTTTAGGTTTAGTTATCTTTCGAGATTGATGAGTTGTTTTCCCAGGTTGGCATACTTGTGAGTATTGATGTTCCACACCCCCCCCCCACGGTGCAAAGAGGCTTTTACCACCCGCTTGGACTGTGTATTGGGCACAAGTCTACATATCCAGA